ACCTTGCCAGAGAGGCGCGTCGTGCACAGGTGGGTGCCGTTGACGGTGAAACTGCAGTCCAGCTGGTCCACCTCCACCTCAATGTGCATCCACGGGTCGTTCTTGACCATGCCCAGCACGCCAAACCACGCCGCGCCGCTTGCCGCGTCGCCGCCGCTGGGAGCCATGAGCGGGTTCACCAAATCTGTCGCCGCAGTGGCCGCAGCAGTCGCGGCCGCCGCGCTCATGGTGGGTGACGTCGATGCCCCTGGCGTCGGAGACAGCGCAAACGGCGTCTCTGCAGACTCGGCTGCGCCCTCAGGAGGGTTCTGCTCAAACATGTCAAACGCAAGCAATCCCAGCTCGTTCTCCTGGTAGTTGACGCTGGGGTCGCACAGCTCGCTCTCCTTCACATCCACAGGCACGGCGTCGCCATCACCCACATCATACGCGCCAGCGCTGCCGAGACCTGACTCGCCAGGCACCTTGCCGGCACCGGCAGAGGCAGATGTCGAGCTCAGCGGCTGCTGGCCTGCATCACTGCTCTCCGGTGCAGAGTACAGCGGGTTGGGCATCATCGTCACGTCGGATGGGCCGGCCTCCGGCTGGATTTCAAACATGGGGTTGACAAAGCTGAAGTCGCCCTCCTGCGTGCCCAGGTACCCGAGCTCGACGTCGAGCGCAGAGCTCTGATCCAGCACCTCCTGCTGCTCCTTGTTGCGCGTGTACAGGGTGATGATGATGTACCACACAAACATAAACACGATGCACACGCCGCTCACAATGATGGTCAGGTAGAAGGGCCAGTTGCTGTCCGTCAGCGTGCTCTGTCCAAAGTCATCGTCGTCGTTGCCCGTGGTCGGCACAGGCTGCCCCGTGGTCGTCACAACGTTGACCTGGCCGTCACAATAGTCCGACAGCAGGTCGGGCGTGCTGCTTGTGCCGGTCGACGTGCAGTAGTGTGCAAACAGGCAGACGGATGAGCGGTGATGGGCGAGGTCGCGGTACCGCGCAATCTCACACACGCACGCGCCGTGGTAGAACTCCAGCAGCGCGCCAAGCGCAGAGCACTCCGTGGCCAGCTCCCCGTGCAGGAACATGTCATCGCACAGGGCTTCTGCCTGTCGCTGCAGCGTTGCGGATTCAAACACACAGCCCATCGACGCGCGGAAGAGTAGCGGCGCCGTGGACACGGGGAAGAGGTTCGAGCCGGAAGGATCCGGGGAACCACCGTCGCTGGGCATGCTCGCCTGTCCACGCAGCCTGCACCGCGTACCATCAACGCCGTACTGGTCAGCCAGCAGCGTGCTGGTGCCGGTCAGCTGCGCGTTGTCAAAGTTGGTGTGCATGAGCAGACCATCCGAGTAGCCCTGTTGCGGGTAGAAGAAGTTCTGCCCAACCTGGTCTCCGGAGATGGGCCGGTTCCAGAAGCGCACCTCGTCCATGTGGCCCTCAAAGTCCGTGGTCTCAGTCTCGCGGCGACGGCGTGCCTCCGTTGACGACGGTTGCAGCACGGGGATGGGCTCGAGGGCACGCCCCAAGGTGAACTCGCCGTCCACGCCAAAGTGGCACGTGCGCAGGAGGCCGACAACCACGTCGGTTGCCACCACCAGCCCGGGTCGGTGCACCAGCACAAAGAGGCGGCCGTCCGTTGGGCGCCACGTCACCGTGATGTGCGCCCACAGGTTGCGGTACATGATGATGCGTGTCTTGAACACAAACGTGCCCCAGGTGATGGTCAAGCGGCCGTCCAGCACGACGCAGTTGAACGTGATGCCGTTGGCGTAGTCCGTGTAGAACGAAAACACGACAAAGTTGCGTGTGCAGCGCCGCAAGCGGTGTGGGTTCAGCGGCACAACGTAACCACCACCATAGCCATACGTGTAGTCACCCGAGCCAGAGCCGGAGCCGGAGCCAGAGCCAGAGCCAGAGCCAGAGCCAGAGCCAGAGCCAGAGCCAGACCCACTGCCGCTTCCGCTTCCGCTTCCGCTGCCAGTGTTGTCTGCTGCATACTGGTCCAAGTCGTCATGAACGTTGTCAAAGCCAGGTTTCACCCAGCCCTCTACAGCCAAGCCGCACTCGCCACCATTGCACATGCCTCCACTAGCACCGCCATCACCCGAACCAGTCCCATCACCACCAGTGCCACCACCACCCGTGCCACCACCCGTGCCATCATCGCCGCCGGACGGCTCGTATGGAACGTCGCCGCAGTCGCGCTGGGGCACAAAGCTCACAGAGGTCTGGTTGAAGGCAAACATGAAGCCGCCAGAGCCAATGCGGGTCTGGCCAGGATCAAATCGGCCTGGAATCACGTCGTGGCCAGGCACACCAAAGCGGCGAGGCAGCATCTCATTCAACCATGCCTGCGACAGCACCTCGCTGTCAAATGGCAGCGTTGTCGTCGTCGTTGTCGTTGTGGTTGTTGAGCTACTCGTTGACGTGAGCAGAGGCGTGGTCGTGGACGTGGCTGTGGTCGTGTTGCCAGCTGAACTTGTTGTGTTCACCGCAGCCGTGGTCGATGCAAGCACCGTGCCATTGGTCGCTGGCGTTGCTGCGCTTGTGCTTGGCATTGCCGTTGCGTTGGCGGGGGTAGTTGCGTTCGACAGTGGCGTGGTCGGCGCTGGCACCGTCGTTGTGATGGCTTCACTGCAGTTGGAGCCCGTGTATGGGAATGCGCAGCTCGAGCAGTTGTCGCCCGTGAAGCGGGCATCGCAGTCGCACACAAACGCGGTGTTGTTGACCAGACGGCAGTCGCCGTGCCCGCCGCATGTGACCTCGCGCGTGCACGCCTCAACGGCGCAGGTCGGACCGGCCCAGCCGCGCTGGCACAGGCACTCGCCGACGGGAATGCTCGTGTTGGCCGCAGTACTCATGGTGCCGTTGACGCCCGTCGTGGCGGTGCTGCTGTTGGTGTTGGCTGTCTCCACGCAGGAGAGGCCATGGCCAGAGCAATCGTCGGGGCAGACAATGTCATCCGTGCAAGTCGCGCCGGTCTTGCCAAACACGCACAGGTCGCACGTGGGGCCGGTGAAGCCAGCGTCACACGCGCACACGGCAACATCGCCCTGCGCAACGCACTCACCGTGGCTGCCGCAGCCGGCGCCGCCAGCACACGACAGCTCAACATGACAGTGGTCGCCACCGTAGCCGCTCACGCACTCACCGCAGGCAGCGCCCAGCGTCGTGTTGGAGCACATGCACACGGGCTGTTCGTTCACAACCGCGCACGTGCCGCGAAGCGGGCCGCCGCACTGCGGGCTGCCGGGACAGATGGGCTGGCTGCAGTCTGCGCCTTGGAAGTTGGGGTCGCACAGGCAGTACGGGTTTGGTGCGTTGGCATAGTCCAGGGCGCACACGCCACGGTTGGAGCAGTCTGGCTCACCGGGGCAGTCGAGGACATCGCACGCCTCGCCGCGCCGACCCGTTGGGCACTCCCTCCACGTAAACTCCGTCTGCAGCGCTGTGGAGTTGGAGCCGCACAGGCCGTGCATGTTCTCCTGCAGCGACGCGGGAATGTCCAGGGCCGCGCTCAGCTGCCCGACATACGCCGTCACCGTCACCCGCACGCCGTTGGGCAACGACACCACGAGCTTGTGGCGCGACTGCAGGTACCACTCTGCCCTCAGCCCGCCGGGCGTGGCAAAGTCTGTCGGGTGCTCGACCGTCTGCATGGCGCCCGTGAGCGCGTCGGAGAAGAGCGCCTCCAGCCGGTTGGCACCCGTGTCTGCGAGGTACACGGCCATGCTCTGGCTGTCGTATGACACGCCAATCATGGACGACGACACGCACGTCTCAAACGCCGTGCAGGGGCGGTGGATGCTCTGCACGTGCATGGTGTCCGTGCGCACGAGCGTGTACGTGCCGAGGCCGCTGAACTGATACGCCGTACCAGCAAAGCTGGTGAAGTACGGGTCGCCAAACGCCGTGCACACGACGTTGCCCTCCGTGGTGGAGTTGATAAACAGGTCGGGCGCGGTGGCCACGCTGCAGTCAACACCGGTCCACCCGGGGCTGCACGACGAGCACAGGCTGTCGCCGTTCCAGCGCGTCTCGCACATGCACTGCCCCGTGACGGAGTTGCAGCTGCCGTGGCCAGAGCAGGCCACGCCATCCACCACACCCTCGCACAGGGAATCGCACGTAATGCCAAAGTGCACGGCGTCGCACTCGCAGTAGTGGTTGCCGGATTGGTCTGTGGCCTCACGGCCAAACAGGCACAGCCTGTCGCAGGTTGGCCCGATCCAATCGGTCTTCAAGCCCTCATTGCACAGCGGCCTTGCAGGCCACTCTGCCAGGTTCAGGTCATCCTCGCACAGCGTTGCAAATGCAAAGACGCTGACGAGCCCAGACGCGCTGGCGTTGTTGGCTGCACCCTGCTGCAAGCACTGCAACAAGTAGTACTCGGCCGGGTTGGGGAACAGCGGCGCACACATGGCCTGCAGCGAGCCAATCCAGCGGTTGCAGTCCGCAAGGAACACCTGCTGCTGCGCGGGCGTGGCGCCGTAGGTTGGCAGCGACACGGGCCACGCGTCCACAAGCGGTGCCGTTGACGTGCTGTTCAGACCACCGCTGCCGCCACTGCCGCCACTGCTGCTTGCACTGCGCCGGCGGCGCTGCAGCAACTCCTCATCGTAGCCGGAAGCAAACTCGTCCAGAGACACCACCAGCCCAATGTCACGCGCTTCAACGTCGTCCTGCGAGTACACAAAGGTGATGGGGAGTGGAAGCGTGGAGGCGATCCACGTTGGCGCCTGTCGTGTAAAGAAGAGCAGGGTTGGCCCAACCTGGTCACCGACAACGTCGCCGCTGCCCTCGTCAAACTTCCACATGCCGGCCAGGTCTGGTGCGTACGGCGGTACGTTCTTCAGGTACGTGGAGGCAACGATGGCCGGGTTGCTGGGCCGCGTCCACAGGCGAAGCTCATCCACGTCGCCAACAAACGGAGCAACCGCACCCTGTCCCAGCACGGAGTCGCCAGCCATCCACACGCCAAGCAGCACCTGGCCGCCAGACTCGCAGGCGCTCGTGCCCACAAACGCAGTGAACACGCCCGATGTGTCGTCCGTCAACAGCCACACCTCAGCGGTGCCCTGGGACCGTGTCCACACGACGCTGAGCTGGTGCCACTTGTTGATCTGGAACGCCACCTCGGTCGGGTACGCCTCCGAGCCATACGAGACAATCAGCGTGTCAATCTGCCACGAGCCATCCCTGCTCAGGGCAAACGCGGTGCTGTTAGCAGAGCCAATGGGCGACAGCAGTGCCACCCGCTCGCCCTGGTGCATGCGGTGCTCCAGCACGGTGAAGGCGGCGCCTGCCAGCGTGCTCACGGTGAGTCGGGCGCCAACGGTGGGCCGCGTGTGCGCGTGCATGAGCCACAGGCCACCCGAGATGCTGAGCCGTGTGAAGGGACCGGAGTCGCCAAACGACACAGCGAGCGTGTGCAGCTTGCGGTATGCAAAGGCAACGCCGCCAACCTGCTTCGGCTTCACGCTCACCTCAAAGGTCACGGTGTCGCTGTCGTCAAACACGAGCGGCGACGAAACGAGGCCGCTGTCGTTGAGGCGGAGGGCAAAGCCGGCGTCGGTGGCCGTGGCCGGGCTGCTGCTGGAGAACGCCTCCATCTCATCCGGCAGGTCTGCCAGCGTCAGGTTTGCAAACGCCAGCGACGAGCCCGCATGGCAGGAACCAAGCAGGCCCTCCGTCCACGCGCAGGTGGTGGCGCGAGGAGCGCGCAGGAACACTTCCAGGAAGCCCTGGCGCTGCTCAATCACCAGCACGCTGCCCACATCAAACCGCAGCACTACGCTGTCCAACGACGTTTGGGTCACGTTGTTGACGCCACTGCTGCCGCCACCACCAATTGGAATGGCAACACCCTCGGAGCGCGTGAGCACGTTGTTCACACGCACCTCAAACGCGCCCGCAGCAACATAGGGGCTCACAAGCTGCACCTTGTCCGAACCAAATCGGACTGTCACCTCCGATACACACACTGCGCGGCCCTGCTGGCACGGCGCCAGCTGCGCGGTGACTTTGGCCAGCTCCTGGCCGCCCGTGTTGACAACACCCGCACGCTGCTGGCTCAGCACCACGCGGCCAGGTGACGGGTAGGCAAAGGAAATGCCCTCAAACGCATGCACAAGGCCGCCAGTAAAAATACCAGCAGCCACGGAGGCGCCGGCACCGCTGTTGTCGCTGCTGCTGTCGAGACGTGCAAATTCGCACTTGGCACCCAGCCAGCCCTGCGCACAGACTGAGCAGTCTGCGCCGGTCCACTGGGGATCGCAGGCGCAGGTGCCATCCACGCGACACAGGCCGTTACCGTTGCACGGCGTGGCTGCACCGCCAGGGCACGCGTCCTTGCACTCCGTGCCATAGTATCCGGGGTCGCACACGCACACGTTGAGATCCTCTGCAGAGGCGTGGCCGTTGTAGCACAGCTTGTCGCACTTGGTGCCAATGTACAGCGGGAAGTCCATGTCTGCGTAGTCGTTGCAGAAGCTCTGCAGCGGCCACGTCTTGAGGCTCAGCACAGACTGGCAGTAGTCCGCGTACGCCACCAACGACGACATGCCTGCCGCCAGCTCGTTGGAGCGCGCAATGTCAGCGAGGCACGCCTTGAGGTAGAAGTCAGACGTGGCCTGGCCCAGCAGTCTGCATGGCGTGTTGGCGCGGATGAACAGGCCGCAGCGGAAGTTGGCCAGGTCGTCCAGCTCTGGCGAGGAAAACTGCACAGCGCCGCCCTCGTCGCTTGGCGGGGCGTCAATGTCCGTGTACGTGAGGAACCAGACGGGGCTCGGCAGCGGCGGCTGCGGGAACACGAGCGGCGTGGCAGCGGGGCCAAGGTCCTTCGCCACAGCACCAGCGCCGTCGTCAAACTTCCACAGCGACACCAGGTCCACATCCGAGGGCTGCACGTTGCGGTGGAAGTTCTGGCGGATGGCCGTTGAGTCGAACAGGGAGTTCTTCTCGAAGATGCGAATCTCGTCCACGCAGCCCACGAACTGCCCGCTGGCGTGGCTGCTGGTCGCGTATGCGGAGGGCCGCCACTGGCCAAACGAGAGCACGCCACCCGGGCGGAACATCTGGCTTGAGTCTGCAAAGAAGACCGACTTGGACAGCAGCGTACCTTGCTGCGTGAACATAAACAGGTTGACCACCCCCGTGGTGCGGCTCCACACGAGCGTGATGTGGTTCCACGCGTTGAGCTGCACAACAAAGTCTGTCGTCACGACGCGGTCGCCATACACCACCTGCAGCGGGTTGGAGAGCACGACGGAGAAGGTGCGGCCGAACTGCGGCTCCTCGGGCTCGGGCTCCAGCAGCTGCTCAATCGGGTGAGGCAGACACACGTCGCGCAGCACGCGCTGGTTGATGCCGCTGATGGGCTCCGTGATGTGCGTGTACGACATGACCGTGCCGCCGTACCGCTGCGGCTTCACCAAGAACTCAATCATGACAAACTTGCTCTTGAAGGCGTTCACCATGGGCGGCGAGTAGATGCCAGAGTCTGCAAAGCACACGGCGTACCCGTTGGTCGGGTTGTCAATGGGCTCGTCCAGCCAGTCCTTCTCCAAGATGTCGAGGATGTCCTCCTCATCCAGCTCCGTTGGCGACTCGGGCATCCAGTCGTTGGTGCACTGGCTGCCGTCGCCACCGCACACACCGCACTGGTCCACGTAGGACACAAATGTCACGCCACGCAGGCGACACGCCTGCTCGTACGCCTGCACCACCGCACAGCTGCACGCGCTGCTGCACGCAGCGTAGCTGACGGCACACGCGCGCACGTACGGCTCTGGGTCAACCACGCCGTGGCACGCGGAGTAGCGCCCGCGCGGGGCAGCGAGCACATCGCAATTCTCGCCATGCTCGCTCGCAGGTGGCTGTGCTGGCAGGCACTGGCGTGACGGCGTCGCGGGCGTCTCGGGAACACGCCACGACGAGGCAAGCGCCGTGGTCTGCGTCAGGTTGCCCGTGTCCTGCACCGCTGTGTTGTCGGAGGTGAACAGCACCTGCGTGCCGCTGAAATGGCCGCACAGGCCGCACAGGTTGTTGCGGTACGCGGTTGGCGCGTTGACCTCCAGCAGGTCGCCGTTGAAGGTGATGGAGACGTCAAGCACAAGCAGCTGCACCGTCACCTTCGAGTACACGCGAGACACGCGCACGCGGCTGGTGACAATGGGCAGCGCGTCGTCCTCAACCACCTCGCCGTTCATGACCACAAGGCCGCCCAGCCGCACGTCCACCGTGACAGCGGGCTCCTGCGTGCTGCCGTCGGAGATGGCGGGCAGGATGACGCGCACCTCATCGGCAGCGGGGTACGCTGACGTCGATGCGGCTGCCAGGGTCGCGTGCACCTGGAACTCGCTGCCATCGCAGTTGGGGCCGCCAGAGGCCACGACAAACCTGCCGCGCCCGCAGAAGCTGAAGGGCAGGCCGTCAAACGTGGTCATGTGCGCGCCGTACAAGAGGCAGCTGCTCGTGCCATCCGGCAGGTCATCGTCCCTGCACGTGGAGCCGTCGCCGCCACACACGCCGCAGCGGTCAATGACGGAGGTGTATGGCACCTGGATGGAATCGCACAGGCTCTCAAAGGCCCGGAACGGGTCGACGCATGCTTTGCCAATGTCCTTGGCGTCTGTTGCACAGGCCATGCTCAGGCACGCGCGGTAGAACGGCTCCGGGTCAAGCACGGCGGCACAGGAGCCATACACAGGTGCGGGGCTGTTGAGCAGCGCACTGCACTGCTCCTCTGCGCGGGCACGGTTAGCGGGGAAGGCGACGCAAGGGTCGCGCGGCGGCTCGGGCCCATCCGTGCACGTGGTGCTGGCGCTGGTGAGGCGGCGAAGCAGCGGCGGCGTGGCTTGGTTTACACCAAAGCTCCACATGGAGTTGCGGTTGCTCGGCGCAAACTCGTCTGCAAGGCCGTTCATGTTCCCGCACAGGCCGCACACGCGCGACTGCAGCGAGCGCGGCACAAACACGCGGAACGTGTTGAAGTGCGACCACTCCACATGCACGCCCGTTGCCTGGTGCACAACGCGCAGCACGCCGCTGTCACCGTCGCCTGTGTGGTGCACGGACACGCCGTGCCTGTTCAGGTAGGGCGCTGTCAGCACGGTGTCGTCTGCCTTGTCGTCAATGTCGTCGCCAGCAAGCGACACAACACCGCCGCCCGTGATGTGCACGAGAGGCGATGCGCCAAAGCGAACAGCGAGCACGGGGGTGGCTGGGTCGCTGCCGCGCGTCACCACGGTGATGTCAAACTCGTGTTGCGAGCAGTCACTCACCAGGTTGTACTCGCACTCCCCGGCAAAGTCGAGGCTCTCGCCATCAAAGGTCACGTAGGACGAGGACGCGAACACGGTGCAGGAGGCCAAGCCATCTGCGCAGGTTGAGTCGTCACCGCCACATACGCCGCACACGTCGCGCGCGGACGAGATGCCCGTGGCTCCGGCAAGCGCACATGCACCCTCGTAGGACGCAATGATGTCGCAGGCATCCAGGAGGGGGAGGGCGTCCGTGGCGTTGCCAAAGGTGGCGGCCACGGCGCTGGTGGCGTTGTGCGGCCAGGCGGACCACGCACATGCCGCTTCCAGGCATGCCTGGTAGTATGTCTGTGGAGCGACGGTGGCGTGGCATCCGGCGAGCGAACCGAGCGGGTCGACGAGCACGTGGCACAGTGCTTCGGCGGCGGAAAGCGCGCCGGCGTTGCCAGCGCACTCGGACGGCGGCAGCACGGTGGCGTTGAAGGTCTGGTTGGTGAACTGCGGGTCGCCAAACGGCGCCAGCAGGCCCGTGTCGTGCACCTGCCAGCCAAGCACGCTGGTGTAGGACGTGGAATCGTCGCCAATGTGGCCGTTGTTGTTGCCGGCGATGCCGCGCGTGCTCACAAAGAAGCTCTCTGGGGCGCGCACCCACGCCGTCGCCGCAATCAGGTCAATGTCCATCTCAAACAGGCCCTCGTACAGGCTGACAAACAGGCGAAAAGAGCCGTGAATGTTCCGCAAGTAGACGGTGAAGCGTAGGCCAGAGAGCCTGTAGCCTACCAGGACGCGGCCGTTGATGCTGACGCGTGTGTGCACGAGGTCAACGTGGATGGTGACCGTGTTGGAGATGACAATGGCAATGCCGCGGAGGCACGCGGGCGAGTAGCGGCTGCTTGTTGTCGCCCAGGTGCAGGTACCCACGCTGCCGTACACGCGCAAGGGGTAGCCGTTGTACAGGCTCTCCACCAGCAAGTAGTCGTAGACGTTCGTGCGCCAGATGGTGGCGCCATCAAATGTGCGGTACACCACGCGGCCAGATCCGCCAAACACGCTAAAGCGGCGCACCGACGGCGCAACGCAGCCCGTCACGGGGCTGCAGTAGCGCCAGGGTGCGCGGCAGTGCCGTTCAAGCACACGAATCACAGACCGTGCGGCAGCAGTGGGAGTTGACGCAGCGCACACGCGGCGCAGGCACGACTGGTAGTAGAAGTCGACGTTGACGCCAAACGTGCCGCTGCAGGACGCAAAGAGCGTGGTGCGCACAACCGCACAGTAGGACGCGGCCAGCTGGTACGCGTACGCGTTGCCTGCACAGGGGCTCGTGGGCAGCGGCGGAAGCACGCACACGGCGCTGGCAGACGCCGTGAACAGCGCGGCCTGGAACTCGCTCTGCAGTGCACCCGCAACCGCGGTGGTGTCAGCAGACGCGGCCAGACCACACGCACCGCACAGGCGATCTCGGTACGAGGGCGCAATAAAGAGCTCGTGGTGAGTGCCGTACCACGTGAACACCACTTGCTGGTTCACGCCCACCACCTCGATGCGGCCGTTGAGGTTGCGGACGAGCGTCTCCTGCTGGTCGACGACCGTCCAGCCGCCCGTCAGGAACGCGCCGTCAACGTCCACGGTCATGTTTGCGTGCAGGCTGATGACGGAGGCATACGCGCCGCCAAAGCGCAGGGCAACGCGCGTGCCAGAGCTCACAGCCAGCGACTGGATCTCAAAGTCGCTGCCGACGCAGTCGCGTGCGATGGTGATGGCGCAGCTGCCGCTGTCCACGGCCAGGAAGCGACCCGCGGTGGAAGCGTGGTACCGCCCAAACAGGGACGTGCACCGCGGCCAGGTCGGCCGGCAGCTCGTCCCGTCACCAAACAGCACGCCGCACTCATCCACGGGGATGGGCCACGTCGTGTGCGGCGAGGGGCACGTATTGTACACGAGCCTGACCACCTGCGAGAAGCAAACGTCCTCCGCAGACTGCGAGCACTCGCACATGTGTCGCAGGCAGTACTGGGTGATCATGGTCCGACGATAGCCCGAGCCCACACACCCAGCAAGTGGGTGCGTTGACTGCAGAAGCGTGCCGCACGTGGCCTGCACGGAAGCAAGCCGCGGGGCGTCTCCTTCACACACGGCCGTACTCGGCGGCGATCCCCGTTCCACACACACATCATCGACCTTCCACACCTGCCCGTCCGACCACTGCTGCTGCGGGTCCTCCGCCAGCGTGGAGGGCTGGCCCATGGGCTGCTCGCCACACAGCCCGCCAGCGACGGCGAGGCGCGATGCATCCACGCGGACGGAGAGAATCGGGTCCGTCCACACAATCTCCAGCGCCCCGCTGTAGTGTGTGAATGTCCAGCGGCCCCCGCGGTTGACGAGGGGCGTGCTCACCACGCCGGGCAGGAACAGGCTCCGGTCCAAGGACGGCTGGGTGAAGCCGCTCGTGTCCACAGGTGCGCCACGCACAAACCTGACGGGCTGGTTGTTGGACGACTGGACCACAAATGTGTCCGCCTCCACAACCACAGTCACGTTGTGGCCACTGTCGGCATCCGACACCACCACCACCTCGTGCGCGCACGTGTACCTGTGGTGCCCAAGGTGGCCATCAAAGCGGAAGAAGAGGCCGCCCTCCAGAGCAAGGCACTCGTCCGGCTCCGTCGACGACAGCGGGCAGGACCGACCGTCGCCAAAGCACACGCCGCAATCATCACGCGCAGACACAATCGGGTGACCGGCCCGGTCGCACTGGTCCTCAAACACGGCAAGCGCCCTGCAGATGAGTGGCGACGATGGATCCGTGCACGCCTCCTCCACGCACATGTTGTAGAGCGGCTCTGCGTCCAGGTGCGTCAGGCAGCCGCCGTACGGCCCGGAAAACTGGCGCAGGCGTCCGCACACGCTGTCCACCAGGTCCTGGTCCACACACGTGGTGGGTGGCTGCGGGGCGGTGGGGATGACATCGCACTCGCCAAGCTGCCAGGCCTGCACAAAGGGGGTGAGCGAGTCTGCAGACGCGGGCGTGCCGTCGGCATAGGCCCAGTCGTTGGACGACTGCCCGTCAATGTTGGCGCCACACAGGCCGCACACGGCATCGGCGTATTGACCTGGCGGCACGTTGACGCTGTAGCTGTCAAAGTCAGTGAAGACAACCTGCACGTGGGAGCCACCGAGCTCGAGGGTGAGCGCGCCCGTGCTTTCATCCGCGCTGAGCACTGACTCGTCGGCCAGCACAATGGGGAACCGTGCAACGGGGATGCGGTTCACCACCGCAGTCCGGGGGGCAACCAACTCCACGTCAACGCCCTTTGCTGTCGTCACACGGACACGGTCGCCCTCGCGTGCCACCTCAAAGTCGCCGTTGACGCAATCGCGCGCCAGCACATAGCTGCAGTCGCCAGACTCAAACGCATACAAGCGGCTGTCGTACGTCAGAATGTACTTGTTGCCCAGGGCAGAGCAGCTGGACCGCTCCACCTCCAACGTGCATTCGCCGGTCACAGCATCACACGACTCGCACGACGGCACGGGCAGCTCGTTCATCAGGCCCTGCGCCGCACACTGCTGCTGGTAGGCGGCAATAGCAGCGCAGCCACAGCGCAGCTCGGCAAAGCACGTGCAGAACGAGCGCACGCAGGCGTGGTACGCCGTCATGGGATCAATTTCGGCGTGGCAGGAGGCGAACGGCCCGTTGACGTCCGTGACGAGGCCACAGTAGTCCTCCGCCTGCGATTGCACCTGCGCAATGTCGCAGTTGTCCGTGGGGTCGGACGGGTCGTCGGGGCAGCGGGAGTTGCGGTCGTGGAAGATGCGGTCGCTGGGGTCCTGGTCCACGGCATAGCTGATGCCAAGCTGGTAGTTGCTCGAGGCAAGTTCCGTGGAACTGCCGCTCAGCAGCGCATCGTCCAAGGCCTGCTTGTTGAAGTTGCCGCACAGCCCGGTCATGTTGCGACCATACACGGGCGGCACGGAGACCTGCAGCAGGTTGCCGTAGTCCCACTCAATCACCACCGACTCGGAGAACAGGGCCATGCGCACCCTGCCGGCGTGAGCCTCCAGGTGAAGCGCGCCCCGCACCAGCGGCAAGGCCGTGATCTCCGTGCCGTCTGCACTCACCACGGCGCCAGCACTCACCTCAATCTTGGGGGCGCCAAGGGCCCGCAGGGCAATGCCTGCCGTGCACCTGGCAAAGTTGTTGAAGGAGCAGCGCGTGTGCCGCACCTGCAGCTCCCAGGGCCCGACCGGCACCTCGTTGATGACGTCCGGGCTGGAGAAGGCGGAGCGGGCCACCGTGTAGTCGCACAGGCCCATAAAGTCGTACTCGTAGCCGTCAAACGTCACGTAGTACGCGTTACCGGAGATGGAGCAGGTGGCGCGGGCGCCGGAGTAAGGACAGGACGTGCCGTTGCCGAAGCACACGCCACACCGGTCCACAATGCCGCCAGCGACCGTCACGCCACGCGCAGCGCACTCGCCCACCACATCCTTCAGCACACCGCAGGCGGAAATCCCGTCAACTGCGCCCAGAGTGGTGGTGTCTCCACCGCTACCAATTGTGTCGCTGCTGCTGCTGCTGCTGCTGCTGCTGTTGGTGGTGGTGCTGGAGCCAGCACGCAGAGAGAGGAGAAGCTCAGCACACTTGTCTGCGATGCACATCTCGTAATACACGGCCGTTTCGATGCCGCATTGGTCAAAGCTGCCACCCACGAGCACACTGCAATACTGCTCCGCGTTTGCGCGCAGACCGCTGTTGCCCAGGCAAGGGTCAACAGGCGGTTGCGGGGGAGGAATGACGGGGCCAACGAGTGAAGAGCAGTTGTGCTCGACAGAGGGCTCAAAGGCAAACACGCCAGACATGTCCTGGGTCCATGCCCAGCTCTCGTTCCAGAGCATGCCGTACGGCGCGGGCTGCTGCGCGGTGAGCAGCTCTCTCACGGGGGCGCCGTCCACAGCGACGCTGCACAGGCCGTCCAGGCCAGACCCGCTCGTCACAATGTCGCGCGCCACAGAAACCACGAGCGAGTTCACCTCGTAGTTCCACAGCAGCGACGAGCCAACGGCGTCCAGCACAACCCTGACTGTCTTGGCGGTCTCATCTTGGTACACGGCCAGTCTGCTCTCGGGCGAGAACAGCGTCTGCACGAGGGGGGAGCCATCGAACAGCACACTCGCTGCTGCTGATGCGTCGCCGCCTGTGTCGTCCCCGCGCACCAGGGAGAGGCGGTGGCGGTTGCGGATGGAGACGGCCGCAACGACCTGGCCCGCATTGCGCGTTGTGAAGATGGACCAGCGCTGTTCCACGCTGCGCGCAAGCACGAAGCTGCACGCACCGGGAAAATCGGCATTGAGCCCGTCCACGGTGAGGAGGTAGCGCGAGTTGAGCAGCCTGCACGTCATGGGGTCACGCGGTGCGTGGCAGCGTGGCGCGGCTGCGGCAATGGTCAACACACCCGCAGCACGACAGGCGGCCTCGTACTGCGAAACAGCGGCATCGCACCAGGAATTCGAGTCGTCGGGACGTGCACACTTTGCCGTGCGGCAGAGCTCAATGTACGGCGCAACGTCGACGACTGCATGGCACGCGGAATACTCGCGACCACGCAACGTCTTGGAGCACACGCGGTCGGCCCAGTCGGCGAGGGTGGCGTTGAAGGAGCATGGATCGGCCGGGGGAACGTCATCAATGGTGCAGAACGGGTCTGGGTCGACAAACAGGCTCGCAGCCTCCGTGTCCACGAGCCAGCTCTTGGCGTGCTGCCACAGGCTGGCGGCCACAACGCCATTGGACGTGATCAGGCCACTCGCGGGATCGTCGTTGTTTGTGGCGTCGGCGCTCAGCGGCTGTCCACACAGGCCACACACGCGGTTGGCAAAGGTGACAGCTGGCGCACGCACCTGAAGCTGGCCAGACGCTGGTGCCCACGTGACTGTGACGCTGTTGGGCAGGCGCACAGTGAAAACACCAGCGCCCTTCTGCACAACGACACCCTCCACGGTGGTGAGTGGCAGCGCGGAGGTCTCCTGGCCGTTGATGGTGACAAAGGAGCCCGCAATCTCCACGACGAGGTTGAAGCCGAAGCGCACCGCGACGACCGAGTTGCACGAGCTCAGGCCACACGCCGTCTTGCGCGCTTGCACCTCAAACTCAGACATGGCCGAACAGTCCTTGGCAACCACGTAGTCGCAGATGCCGGAAAACGCATTTTCGTAGCCAGAGAACGTGCGAACAAGGCCAACGTCGCGCATGAAGCACGTCATAAAAGAGCCCGAGCACGTGCTGCCGTCACCAAAGCACACCCCACACTCATCGACGATGGCCGGGATGGACGTCACACCGCTCCGCACACACTGGTCACGGTAAGCCTGCACAACCTCACATGTTGAAGGCGGTATGGGTGTTGCAACTGTTGATGTAGAACCAGACACACGGCATCTCGACAGCTTGAAATGAAGTCTGTTGGGTCGACCGTCTCCAAGCATGTGGCGAGCGGTCCTTGTGCATCTGCAAGTGCAAAACACCGCGGCGGAACCGGCGGCGGTAGCGGCGGTTCAACCACGGGTGTGATGGGCGGAATGGCGGTTGTGCTCGTTGCATTGTCACTCGTGCGATCCCGGAGCCGATCACCAGCCTTTTGACGCGACAGCCACGCTTCGATGACAGCCCAGGCGGCATCAAGATCACCCGTTGCGCACACGTCCTTGACGCACTCCTGCGCCATGTCGCCGGCAGCGGCACACACCATCACCGCCTGTGCCTCAAAGTCAGCGGATACGCATTCATCCGAAGGCGTGTAGCCATCTGGGAGCTTGTTGTAATCATCCCAGTTGTTGGGAGGGTCGTACCAGAACAGTGACTGGGCACGTGTGACGCGGGTGTAGTCGATGGTGGCGTGATCATCTGCGGAGATGCCGTTGTACAGTGCGCACAGGCCACCAGTCACGTTGTAAAACAGCGGCGACACCGCAACGTGGATGTTCAAATACCTTGAACTGAAGGTCTGCGCCGTGAGCTCAAAGTCCAGCGCCTCGGAGTACAGCGTGCACGAGCGGCCATATTCACAATGTACATCGACACCATCAACAACTGTGCTGTACGTGGATGATGCACTCGTGAGTTCCGCAGCGAGGCTGTTGTAGGTGCGCACGATGAGGCGTCCAGAGCGCGGGTACATGCCCACGCGCAGGCCAGACTCGCGGAACAGCGCCTCAAAGGCCGTGTTGCCCGAAGCGCTGCCGAGCGGCTCGTGTCGCACCTGCACCTCCACCAGCGGCGACCGCAGCAGGTAGAACTCGCCCACGCCGTAGAAGTCGAAGCGCGCGCCATCGAAGGTGGTGAAGTGCGGGTCGCCCGCGCTTGTGCACAGGCCGCCACGTGAGGAGTCGACTGGCGGCTGCACGGGCGGGCGAGGATCGATCATCGGGGTGATTGGCTCGCTCGGCACTGTCGTTGGAGCCGCCGTCGTGCTGGGGGAGGTAGTGGCGTTCCCGCTCGTGCGATCCGCAGGCGGTCCTCGGCCTCCTGGCGCGACCTCCACGCCTCAATCATGAGCCACGCCGCGTCCAGGTCACCCGTGGCACACACGTCCTTGATGCACTCCTGCGCCATGTCGCCGGCAGCGGCACACACCGTCACTGCCTGCGCCTCAAGCTCCGCAGACTGGCACTCGTCCGAGGGCTTGTACCCATCAGGCTGGTCGTTGTAGTTATCCCAGTTGTTGGGAGGATCGTACCAAAGAAGCGACTCGGCACGTGTGACGCGGGTGTAGTCGACGGTGGCGCTGTCGTCTGCAGCGATGCCGTTGTACAGGGCGCACAGGCCGCCGGTTGCGTTGTTGAAGAGCGGCGACACCGCAACGTGGATGTTGAGGTAGCGCGAGCCCTGCGCCGTGAGCTCAAAGTCCAGCGCCTCGGAGTACAGCGTGCACGAGCGGCCATATTCACAATGTACATCGACACCATCAACAACTGTGCTGTACGTGGATGATGCACTCGTGAGTTCCGCAGCGAGGCTGTTGTAGGTGCGCACGATGAGGCGTCCAGAGCGCGGGTACATGCCCACGCGCAGGCCAGACTCGCGGAACAGCGCCTCAAAGGCCGTGTTGCCCGAAGCGCTGCCGAGCGGCTCGTGCCGCACCTGCACCTCCACCAGCGGCGAGCGCAGCAGGTAGAACTCGCCCACGCCGTAGAAGTCGAAGCGCGCGCCATCGAAGGTGGTGAAGTGCGGGTCGCCCGCGCTTGTGCACAGGCCGCCACGTGAGGAGTCGACTGGCGGCTGCACGGGCGGGCGAGGATCGATCACCGGGGTGATTGGCTCGCTCGGCACTGTCGTCGGGGTCGTTGTCGTGGTTGTTTGTGGGCCACCGCCGGGGCCACTGTCAAAGCACGCTGTCTCGGATCCTCCAGGGATCAGGCGAAGTTCGGGCGCAACTGCTGTTGCGTTCTTGAGCGCTGCCACGCTCGCAGCGTCCGTGAGCACGGCACCACACAATCCTTCAAGTCCGGTCGTCGTCTGAGCTGGAACATCCACCTTCACCGTTGCTGTTGCCCTCAGCGCCCTCAGCCAAGTGACACGCATGCCATTGGCCTGCATCTCCAGCGCGTACGTGTCGCTCGCCGCCTGAGTGTGCTGCCGTCGCTGAAAAGCACAAACACGTCAGACACTGGACGGCCGCCGACAAACACGCCCTGTTCACTGAACACGATCGTGGTGCGGTAGTTGAGGCGGGCGGCCACGAACGTCGTGCGCGTGCTGACGCAAGGGTCGCCGTCACGTGGCACACACACAAACCGGGCGTGCACCTCAAAGACGCCATGTGGGTCCTTAGCCAGCACAAAGTCACATTCGGCAAGCGGTTTCACAATCGCGCCTGGCACAGACAGGACTTGCCCGCTGGAGAGCACGGTGCAAGTCGGGAACTGCTCTGCGCAGGAAGTACCGTCGCCGCCACACACGCCACAGCGGTCCCATGCCAGGAAACGCACATACTCGTTGTTTGCGTCACAGTACTCCAAGAATGACGCTGCGCCCTCGCACTGTGAATACGCGCGGCCGGACGTGAGGGCTTGGCACGCGTCACGCAAGCAGGCGTCGTACAGAGATGAGACGAGTGAGTCAGAGCATGTGGCCGAATCAGCGACTGCGCCTGGGCTGAGGACACACAGGCGCTTTGCTTCTGCCAAGGCGGACGAATCGAGGTTGCACGGGTTTGGTGGAGGCTGCACGGGGCTGATGCATTCGCTGTTGTGCGAGCCGAGAAGCGCCGTTCCGGCCTGCACCTGCCAGCTGTTGGCGAAAAGGTATGTTCGCGCCGTGTTGATGATGGTGTACACCTGTCCATCGGCCGTCTTGAAGTCGTCAATCGCAGAGCCAGTAAAGTCGCCGCACAGGCCACACATGCGGCCATGCAGGGTTGGCGGTGCCATGACCTGGATGATGGAGCCGCGCGCACGAACCTGCACCTGATTCAGCATCTCAATGACCAGGGTGTCGTCCACGAGCCAGGTAAGAGTCGTGCCGTCCTTGTAGAGAACGAGCGAGGACTCGGAACGGGAGACGCGCGCGTTGTCAATGTACACCGCACCGTTGCGCAACTCAACCAAGTGCCGGCCCTGTGTGCGCAAGGCTAATGCATACGTTGCCAGGACGGGGTTGGGAATGATTTGCACCTCAAACGAGCTTTCCTCGCAGTCCTTTGCCAAAATGTACGAGCACGTGCCGGCGTAATCGTACGCACTGCCGTCAAAGGTGACAAAGTGCGCGCCACCGAGTGTGGAGCAGGTTGCGAGTTCTTGCGCGCAGGAGGAGCCGTCGCCAAACGCAACCCCGCAGCGGTCAATGATGGGCGGCTGCGGCGCGCGCCCGCGGTCCTTGCACAGCACGTCGTACTGGCGAATCGCCGACGTGGCGTGCAGCGGGTAGCACATGTCAGCAAGACATGCCTCATAAAACGGCTCAGGGTTGAGCAAAGAGTGGCAGGAAGCAAATGGGCCGTCTGTGTCCACAATGACGGCGCAGCGGCGGCGGCCTTCCTCAATGACCTGCGCATCTGCGTCAGCGCATGGGTCAACGGGCGTTGGCGGCACGGGCTCATGGTAGCACACGCCCTCCCTCGAAGCAAACAGCGTCGACGGCGCGGACGTGACGTTGACCACGGCCCAGCTCAGCCCAAACTTGTACGCGTTTGTGGTGAGCACACCGGCGCTGGTGACGAGGTCGTTGGAGGTGACGTTGTCGTACTTGCCGACAAGACCACACACGCGGTTGGAGAAGCGGTCCGGGACCCACACGGAGAGGATAGCGTCCTCAGTGTACTCAATCTCAATACCGTTGCTCATGGTCACAACCAGGGTGCCCTGCAGGGTGCGGGTCACGGTGGTGCCGCCCCTGAGCAGCAGCGGAAGCTTGGTCTGCAGCTGGCCGTCCACAAGCACATCACCAGTGAACTGCAACTCCACGACCGGCGATCCGTGTGACGTGATGCCAACGCCAAAAGTGGAAATGCCGGCGTTGGTCACGTTGCGGTTACGCACGTGGATCTCAAACTCGTTGTACAGGCAGTCCTTGGCAAACACGTAGTCACACGTGCCGGAGAAGCTAAACACAGTTTTGTCCAGGGTCACGTAGTGGGGGTCACCAAACACGGTGGACACGCTGTACGTCTCCAGGCACGACTCGCCGTTGCCAAAGCACAAGCCACAGCGGTCAATGACGCTGCTTGCCTCCACGGGGTCTGGGCTGCTCTTGAGGCAGCGATCCTCGTAGGCAGCGTACACGCCACACGCCTTCTCGGCGCCGCCGGTGCAGTAGTCGCTGATGCACGCATCAACGTACGCGGACGGGCTGGCCCAGACGTGGCAGGCGGCATACGGGCCGACGTCGCTGGCTAGTGCGGCGCAGTAGTCCTCGGCCAGCGCCTGTAGCGTGGCGTTGTTGAGACAGGGACTGTCGCGCTCCAACACACGCGGCGAGCACATGGCGCCGGAAGGGCCAAGGAAGAGCGCGTCGGTCTCGGGCGAGTGCCAGGTAAGGCCGGCCTGCTCGAAGGTGCACGTGCCGTTGACGGTGCACCCGGGCACGTTGCTGCCGTACGTGCTGACGTCGTCCAGGGCGGTGTTGCACAGGCCGCACAGGACGCTGGAGAGACGCACGTGCGCGCTGATGGCGGTCTGGCCCGAGAACGGGTTCCACGAAACAACCAAGCCCTCGCGCTGGGCGGTGACAATGAGGTCAAAGCCGTCGCTGCGCACGACAATGCCGCCATCCAGCACGCTCGGCACCTCGGTGACCTCAATGCCGTCGAGGAACACGCGCGGGCCGTCCAGCTCCAGCGCCTGCTCGCCAATGCGCACAAGCAGGCGCGTAAACGCGTCCGAGCCCTCGGGCTTGTAGCCGTGGATGGCAAACGAGCCGTGGGCGCAGTCCTCGGCCAGCACGTACGAGCACTGGCCGTGGAACGTCTGCAGGTCGTTGGAGACGGTGGCCACGTGGGAGCCGAGCACGGCGCACTGGAGGTTGGAGGAGGCGCACGTGGACCCGTCACCGAAGCACACGCCGCACTCGTCCAGCACCGTCTCGATGGCAGTGAAGCCAGACTCAATGCACAGGTCCTCCAGCGCCGTGATGCTGGCGCACGCAGCAGCTGCGATTGCCGCATCGACGCTGTTTGTGATCTCATCGCCGGGATTTGCTGCCAGCGCCGTGGCGTTGCCAATGGCGATGCAGTAGTCGTACACGCACGATGCAAACAATGTTTGGCTCTGCATGCCGACTTCGCCCACGCATGAGGCGTACGGGCCAGCGGTGTCGCGCAGCACGTGGCAGTAGTGTTGGGCCACCAGCAGCAGTTCCGGCGAGGAGTCGCACGGGTTGCTCGGGCGCGGCTCGACAGCGACGGTTTCGTTTGCAGATGCGCACTGCTGTGGGGCGGCCCAAGCTGTGCCGTAGCTCCAGGCAGCCGTGACGTTGTCCGAAGCAACACTAACATTGGCGGTGGCGCCCGGCAGGCGGAGCCCCTCTGCAGAGCCGCAGAGGCCACAGGAGCGTGACAGCAGGGACGCGTGGGCGTGAACGGCGACAGCACCGCGGCCATCGGACGAGACGCTCAGGAACGGCACGGAAACGGACAGGCCCTCCGATGTGACGTCGATCAACAGGCCGCCGCCAGCCGCGGAGCGGTAGGGAAAGCTGACCACGAAGCCAGCCTTATCGCGGGCAAGCCCACTGACAAAGAGGACCTCATCGCCGCGGGACAGGATGGCGCTGGCGCTGACGCGGGCACCGTTGACGAGGACGCGCGTCTCTTGGAGCAGCGGCGCGACAGCCTGACGCGTCGAGTTGAGGAGCGTGGCTAGAACCCAGTCTGCACGGACACGGTCCAGCTCAGCCGGTACGGTCATAGTGCTGGGCAGGATTTCAAGCCACGTTGTTGGCCGTTGCGGATCTGGTGTCATCTCAACCCGCACGGTGGGCGCGTCCTGGCCACAGCGCTGCAGGTACACGGCAAAGGCTCCAAACTGGCAGTCACGCAGGAGGGCATATGCCTGCTCGCCCGCAAACAGGAACGGGTCCGCAGCGAAGGGCTGAACGAAGGAAGCGCCATGCAGCGAGCACGAGCGCCACTCCTGTGCACAGGCGGAGCCGTCGCCAAAGCACACACCACAGGCGTCTCTGACAGAGCCGAGATCCGGCACAAGCTGTGCACACGCGCGCTCGTACTCCGACACAGCGGCGCAGGCAAGGCCCTGCCGCCAGGTATCAACGGCATCCGCCGGGATACTGGGAGGTGCCGCGGCGCAGAAGGCGCTCAGGCACGAGCGATAGTACGCGGCTGGGTCGAGCACGGCAAGGCACGGGCCGAGCGAACCGCCAGGGGCGGTCATGCGGTCGCAGTACGCCTCAGCAGCCGCACGGGTGGTGCTTGTTGCGGTGTCGCACGGGTGGGTGGTGGTTGCAGGTGGGGCAACGCAGGCTTCATCTGGAGGCTGAAGCGCAGAATCTGGGCGCACCGTCACCTGCCGTGTTGAGGAAGACGAAGCGTCACCGCTATCGCCGCTCACATCCGCAACATCAAGCAGTGAGGACACACCGAGGGACGCGGGCCAGCACATGCCGACGATGTTGGCGGTGCTGGCGGTGCTGGTGTGTATGCGCACACTGGTTGCACCAGCAGAGATGGAGATGCCAAACGCCGGCACCACAAGCGTAACCAGCGACGCGGACGAGCGGAACAGGCGTGTGTCATCTGAGGGGTTGACAATGTGCACGGGGTCCGTGGGCGCAAACGCTCTTGAGAGTGGCTGGCCATCGGCATCACCAGACGCCTCGTGGCTCACGACCGTGCCGTCGCTGTGAATCTCAAGATGCCAGCCGTTGTGGCGAGCAATCGCCAGCACATACGCGCCAGACGCCTGGCGTTTGACCGTGACCATGAAGCTGCGTGGGTCCTCGCGGTCGCCCACGAGCAGCAACTCACAGCCCGTTGCCGTGCTCAGCAGCGAATCGGCCGCAAAGGGAACAAGCGTGTGGGTGTCGAGCAGGCTGCACTGGAGCTGATCCTGGGGCCCACAGTCCTCGCCGGTGCCATAGCACACGCCGCATCGATCCCGCACAGAGGACACGTTGTACAGCAGCCCACCAGATCGGGCAGCACATGCCCGCTCGTACAGGGTGAGCAGCTGACACGCCTCCCGCCTTGCCTCTGCTTGGCTTTCGGCGAAACAGGCGCGGGCAACGCACAGGTTATGATAGGCTGCTGGCTCCTCCAGCGAGAAGCAGCTGTCCTTGTACGGGCTGACCTCTGACACGGGGTCAAGGTCAGCACACAGCATCGCAGCAGAGGTGCATGACGTGTTGGCCGGGGGAGGGAGCACCACAGGGTCCTCGGGAACAGAGCAACCACCGGTGACAGATGAGGCCAGGAGCTGCGAGGCCCCGGCAGCGTCCAGTAGCGTTGTGCTTCCACACGCGGCGGCGTTGCCTGCGACAACGGCGCTGGTTGCCATCACGCGCACCATGGAGGTAGAGGACGCAGCAACGGCCACCACAACGCGAGCAAGCACGCCCACGGGCTGCCTGATAAAGTCGGTGTTGTTTGAGTACCTCTCAGTCCCGGGTGCACTGCCGCTGTATACGGTAAGCAGCAGCTCCGTCGAAGTGCGCTCCAGCAGAGCGTGCTGCAACCTGACAGGGAAGCCCGTGGTCGTGCGGCCGTTCACCACGGCAACGTTGGGCTGCCGTGGATCAAGTGTGAAGGCAGCACTCGTGTGGGACGCCGTGTGGTTCACGACCATGTGCACCACGCCAACGACTGGCGACACGGACACGGAAACACCTGCAGCACGCAGCAGGGTCAGGTCACACACATCGTTCTGCTCGCCAAGCGCGAGCGCGGTGCGATCGGAGGTGGCATCAGGGCGGAAGGTCAGCAGGGACGCCTGCGTCGCCGAGCACTCGTTGGGCAGGCTGCAGCTCGTGCCGTCACCGCGGCACACGCCGCAGCGATCAAACACCGAGGCAGCACCGCGCACACCTGCGGAGAAGCAGAGCGCCTCCACGTTGCCGAGGAAGCCGCACGCCGTCTCACGTGCCAGGGCAGGGGTGGAGGCCAGGCACACGCGGGCAACGCACGACGCGTACGCCCTGTTGAGGTCAAGCGCCTGCTCGCAGGGGGCGTACTGACCAGACGCGAGCACCTGACACTCCAGCTGTGCGCGCATCGCAGCCTCAGGGCTGGCACACCCTGGTGCCGGGTCTTCCGGCCCGGTGCACGTCGTCTGCTGGAACAGCACGCTGTCACCCAAACGCTGCTGGCTGGCCACGACGCTTTGTGGGAGATCACCATCGCCCGCGAGCTCGCTCGCAGTGCACAATCCAGTCACGTTGAGGCTCACCGAGGTCCTTGGACCAGGGCTGTTGAGAAGTGAGTCTCCAGCATGCAACAGCACGTTGGTGTCCATGCGAACAATGTCCCTGTGCACGGACAGTGACCAGCCAGTTTGTGCAGAGATGCGTCCCTTGACGAGGCCATGAAGCAGCGTGACCGCCGTCGGCGAGGTGAGCACCAGCTGCCCAAAGCCAGCGCTGGCACCGACACGCATGGGCCAGGTGGAAGCGCCGGTGTCCAGCGCCGTTCCGTTCACCCAGACACCAACGGCGCCATCGTCACCCACGCGCAGCTCAACGACAGCACCCGAATCATCAGACACAGCGAGACCGCGCCCGCCCTCCTGGAACTGCACAACAATGCTGGATGAGCTCACGGACGTGACGTTCTTCGATGTGGTCGTGTTTCCAACTGTTTGTTCGACCGTCGTCACTTGTGTCTCGACGCGAGAGACACGCACGGCCTCATACGTGCACGAGCCAAGGAAGTCGTGAGTCGCGCCATCAAAGGTGGTGAGGGCATCAATCGTGGGAGACAGGGAGCACGTTGCGCCAGGGAAGGCGGTTGGATCCTGCACATCGCAGCCTGACCCATCGCCAAAGCACACACCACACACATCCCGGGTCTCGGTCGGCAGCTGCACGCCGCACTGGCGGTCAAAGGTGGAGATGACATCACACGCAGCCTCAGCACCGGCGTCAGCGTCGCTCGCGCTGCAGAAGGCCTCCATGCATGACACGTGAAACTCGGCCGCTTGAAGCGTCGTCGTGGGGCACTGAGATGCGAGCGCGGCGAGCGTGGCATTGTCTGAAAGCGCGTGACAGAAAGTTTGCGCGGCTTCCACAGTCGTGGCAGCAGCGCCCTCGCAGGTAGCGCGGGGCGTGACCGGCGGCTCTGGCGCCGTTTCGCACGCCGCATCCGCGCCAATGGCGTTGTTGGTGGCAGGCACCATGTGCGAGGCCAGGTTGGCGCTGGTGAACTGCGCCGGCGTCAGGGTGCACGCACCGCAGCTGCCAGAAGCGCTTCCCACGCCCTCGCTCGGACCGCTAACCTCCACGTCCGACCGGGAAATGGTCACACGCAGAGGCAGGGCAGGAACAGCGAGCGACAACTCCCCTGCAAGCGTTGAAATGAGCGTGCGGATACCGCGAGTGGCGCCGAGGTACGCGCCCGAGCCCACAACGACCGGCATGCCGTTCACTTGCACAGTTACAGCCGCGCCCGCCTGTTGTTGCTGCTGGGCGGAGAACATGCTTGCAGGCTCAACCACCACTGTGTCGTTCTGGAACCGAACGGCAATGGCAACCACCGCGCTGTCTTCGGAGAACTTGGCCTCCACGCTAAAGTCTGTGCCGGCATCCTCCGCAACGCGCTCGGCGCAGGCACCCAACAAGCGGTAGAAGCACACGGGGTACGCATACTGAGCCGACGAGCTGGCCAGCGTCTTGAAGAGCCCACGGTACCTGTACCGACACGTACTCCATGCACGGCACGTCTGCACCTGCCACGCATCACTGGACGTCGCCTGCGACAGCAACGCGGTTGCATCGAGGCAGTCGCCACAAGCGTCCTGCACGCTGCCGTCCAGGTGGACGCCGGCGTCAACACAGGCCTGTTCATACGCGCGCAGTGCTGTGCATGGGACCTGGGAATCGCACGGCGCCGCCACGCACGCGTCGTAAAACGGTTGCGGATCAACGGCAACATGGCAGGGGGAGAACAGCCCAAAGCGCGAGGAAATGAGCTGGCACGCGGTGCTGTCATCGCCCGTGTCTGCGGCACCGGAAGAGGTGCAGGCATCAGGTGGGAACTCGGGGTCTGAGCACGTGCGGTTGGCAAACTTGAGCAGGTGGCTCGAGTACCCAACCAGCTGACGCGCCCCGAAAAAGTAGGCATCGCTGGTGTCAGTCACGCTGAGCTGCGTGTCGTCGCCCGCAACGCCGTTGAAGTTGCCGCAGAGGCCGCACAATGCGCCCCCACGCCACTGCGCACCATTCGCCTGCACAGACACCACGCCATCCGGCACACGCCACAGCACACGTACCCCAAGCCGGGCAGAGACAATCTCAAAGCCCCAAAGGCGGCGATACATCGTGACTTCGTTGCTGGTGGTGAAGGGGAAGTGGGGGATCACGTCGGGGCCCAGGTACGCCTGCCAGTCCTCATCCGCACTGGCCAGGCTTGAGTACAACGACACAGGATCTTCTGAGAAGGAGCGGAGCGCAACGCCAACGACACACCGCTGAGAGCCGTCACCACAGGCCGCAAGCGTCGCCTGCACCTCAAACGCGTCGGACTCGCAGTCCTTGGCGACGACGTAGGTGCACATGCCGGGGAACTGCCACACGTGCTCATCAAAGGTTTCAATGAGCATGCCGTCGCGCACGGTGCAGGTCGCATCTGCCGCGCACGTGGAACCGTCACCGTCGCACACGCCACAGCGATCCACCACAGCGGCGTCGCGCGTGTGGCCCTCGGCGATGCAC